AGTGTGACTCAGCTAACAGCAAGACTAACATCCGTACTTTATTGTTCAGCGAGATTCTTGTGAAACAAAAGAAAAACAAAACTGTTTAGGGCTAAAGTGCATCCGTGTTTATGGATCTGGGTGTGACTCAGCTAACAGAAGACTGCAATCAGACTCGCATTCTTTTCCACTTCGCACTCATGCAAACAGATGCTGAGACACACTGGCGCACAACGCCCACTCAAAGCTCAGAAATATGGAAGTCGAAAACACATTTCAGATACAAGCTCGCTTCAACAGGCTATGGCGCATCAGCGCCTGTACACTCCAACTCTCGTCTCTCTGCCCAACTCCACTGTTCGCACTCACTCACTCTGGATCACCCTGGATATCCCACACGCATACACACTCCCACACACTACTAACACACTTGTCTATCAGCTATGGCGGCTATGGCCGCTGTCCCTCACAAGCTATGGCTAACTATCTCCTTCAGCCCACTTCGTCTTCGGGCACTCTGCAGACCACCTCGCAAAAGTCGCTCAAGCAGCGCTTCCGCATGGCTTCCGCAGGAATGAATGAATGGCTGGGCACTGCCTCTTGATTTATACTTCTGTAACTCGTTGGTCTGCCCCTTTCCCATGCCCTTGGTTCACACAGTCCTACACGGTACTTGCTTGACTGGACTGTGACTGACTGGGACCGGTACCGCTGACTGCACAGGTTTGCACTGCCAACGTAACGCAGTTGGGCTCACCACTTGCCCACTTGCCTCGGTCCAAATGTGAGACAACTTCAAAAGGCCACTTCCGGACCTTCCGGAAGTCTGTGGGCTTGGCCTTTCGAACACTGTAGCAGCTACGACCTTGACCTTTCAGGACTGTAGCAGCTACGACCTTGACCCTTCAGAACTACTACAGCTACGACTTCTAGAACTCACTAAGACCTCTATCTGACAGGTCTACAGATCGAACCCCTACAACCTACGGACCTACGACAGCCTACCAACTGTTGTGAATATACAGGTCACGGGTTCAACTCTCAGGGCCGACACAGGTACTGTACACAGGTAAGGTAAGAACTAGGGATTGAGGCCTGGGATCTGCACTCGCTACTGTTAACAGGTGAATACCGTTTCACTCCCGCCGGCCTAAATTCGAGGTCCTCCGAGAATAATTCAGTCCAAGACCGGATTTTTACCTTTCCTTTCTCTCTCGTAGGCTCTAACTACGTCGGGAGCTGTTTCTAGAAGTTCAGTTCTAGTGAACCAGCGGTCGTCCTCGGGTTCCTGATAAGCAAATCGGACCTTATACTGCTTCTGTGGACGACCTCTACCTCCTGTTCTGAATACGTCTTCACCTACAATGCCCTCAATGTCATATCTTCCATCCATGTCCAGCGGGATCATGGATCTCCTTGATGGAAACTGTGGACTTGTGACACACGGGAGCAACTTCGACGCATGAAACATAGGGTAGGTGTGGAGGTGTGCTGGGATCTTTATCGCATAGGACGGTCCATCTTCTCCGCCCTTGACTTCTAGAACTGGCCACGGTCCTCTGTATGCTGGCAGTAACTTCTGCGAAATGTTTTCCTCAGGAGCAAACTCTTTGGACTTGACCCAGACTAGGTCGCCTACTTGAAACTGCGACGGGCGACGGTGCTTGTTAGCCTGTTCTATGATTCGGTGTTGGGCTTTCCTGAGGTTCTCAATGACAGTAGCTACCTCTTTCTCGTGCTGTATCCCAAACTCCCTAGTACCGGGCGGTAGCCTATGGATCTGGTCCCGGTTAAGTCCTTCAAATGGTCTGCGCGGTCTAAAGGACTTATGCAGTTCATTCGGAGTACGACAAGTGGCTAAAAAACTTCTGAATTACTAACTCTGTACGGGCTTCTGCGGGTAAGGGAACGAAAACAGCATATTTGCTAAATATATCCACTATTACCATGACTTGGCTCTTTCCATGCCTACTTTTGATGCTAGCATCCATGAAATCAATGGATACCGAATCGCCTGGATGATCAGGTATAGGCAAGGGTCGAGGAAGACCTAGAGGGGCACGCATAGAGTTCTGATTCCTCTGACAGACTTTGCAACTGCGAACGTACTCTATGCAGTCGGCTTTCATTCCTGGCCAAGTATATGCATGCATCAGATTGGCTAGAGTCTTTTGCCAACCGAAATGTCCCTCTGTGTCGTGGCATTCCCCTAGGATCAAACTACAAATCTCCTCACTATTAGGAACGTACAGATGGTCTACTACGTTGGTCTTCTCGAACAACAATCCCTCTATAGTGCGGTAATCTGGTTCGGTCTCTGGGGCCTCCTTAACTTTCTTGAGGAGGTCACTATAAATAGGGTCCTGTGCATACGCTTCTCTAACTTTCTCTTGCAGGTCTCTCCCAATATCCAGATAGTGAACTATAGCTCCAAAGTAATCTAATCTCCTACTTAGAGCATCCGCAACTATGTTATACTTGCCCTTGACTGGTTTGAGCTCAAAGTCATACTGGTCTATCTCAGCGGCCCACCTAGTTAGCTTAGGTGTCATCTTGGCCTGCGTTTTCAACCATCTAAGGGTCTCGTAGTTTGAATAAACTTTGAAATGCCTCCCAAGCAAATAAAGCTTCCAGTGCTCTAAGGCTTGCCTGAGTTCTCTCTCGTAGGTCGAGGTAGCCACTTTCTCTGAGGGCATCCTTGCTGACATAAACTCTACGGGTCTATAGCCATTGCCGACGTTCTGTTGTAACACGGTGCCTATACCATACTGACTTGCGTTCGTGGTGACGACAAATGACAAGGACGGATCTGCCACCTTGAGGACAAGGTACTCTATCAACGCTCGCTTTAACTTCTTAAGAGCGGACGTACAATCTTTGTCCCACTTCCAGATTGCATCCTTCTTGAGCAACCTGCGAAGGGGAGCGACGATAGTGGAAAAGTTCCTGACGAACTTCCTATAATAATTAGCTTGGTCTAGAAACGACCGCAACTCTTTCATTGTGCGGGGCGTCGGTCAATCTCTAATCGCCGCTATCTTACTATCCTCTGGCTTAATGCCATCTCCGTCTAAGACGTGGCCCGGGTACAAAACCTGTATTTTGGCCCACTCGCACTTCTTCGCATTGATCTTGAAGTTAGTCTCTCGCAACTTCTCCAAGACCTACCTTAAATGATCCTGATGCTCTTGGAGGGTCTTACTGAAAACCAATATACCGTCTAGGTAGACTACAAGAAATATATCTAACCAAGGCCTAAACACATCATTCATACAGCGTTGGAATGTGGTTGGCGCATTGGTCAGTCCAAAGGGCATCACTATGAACTCATAATGCCCGTATCTAGTCCGGAAGGCAGTCTTATACCGGTCATCAGGATGAACCTTTATCTGATGATATCCGGACTTCATATCTACCTTTGAGAAATACTTGCAGCCTTGCACTCGATCTAAGAGATTGTCTATCCTGGGCAGTGGCTCCGCATTCTTCACTGTAATAGCATTCATTCCCCTATAGTGTATACACATACGCAACTCTCCCTCCTTTTTGGGGACAAACAAAACTGGTGCTCCAAAGGGAGACAAACTGGGCCTAATCCAACCCTTTTCGAGGAGCTCGTCCAACTGCCTGCGTAACTCCTCTAACTCCCTTGGGGACATTCTGTAAACCGCACCCTTAGAATCGGTCGCGGCACTACTCCTGTTGGCGGCTCTGCCAAATCTTTAAACTCTTCCAACAGCTTGGCAATAGCTAGGTCTGTTGGCTTCTCTTCGGTAGGCTTAGTGACAGGCCTTATGTAAGCTACAAAGACCTGTTCTTCTAACTGCTCCTTTTTGACTAATCGCTTGAACGCGGGAGCACTGAGACAACAATGTGCCAGAGAGTTATCTACTCCTGACACATGGAACAGACGGGCAGTCTTGACCTCGCCTGATGGACCAGGGACCCTACACTCATGCTCTCTTAAGCGGAGTGTGGCCCCTGCTGCCTCTCCCCAATCCATACCTCGGACTATATCAAAAGGGAGGTTGTCCTCTGCGAGGAGAGTCAGGGAATGGAGTACTTTCTCTACCTTGACATCTTTCTCTAGGCACAGGTACGCTTGGACTCCCTCGACGTAATCCTCAACACGCATCGTGCGGTTGTCTGCGAGGATACTGATTATGGGGTCTTCCAACTTTTGGACTTTCAGACCTAGCCTCAACTTTAGCGCTTTCCTGTTGATATAATTACGGGTAGCCCCTGTGTTTATAAGGGCCCCTACTCTGCTTCTAGAAACTTCTAAAGCTACTAACACCAGTTGTCCTTTGCTCTCCTTCTTCATCTTGGCCCAGGTCGGCATCCTCTCCTTCAACTCCTCTGCCAGACCTGTGAGGGAAGTGCCTAGAGAGACTCTAACACAAACAGTCTCTGGACAACTAACTAGGCACTGACCCTGCTCCATCCGTTGTTGCCACACTCTCTGGTCCAAGCCCAAATCTTCCCGAGGTCGGCCCTATGGCCAACCCGGGTGCCAACCTCCTCGCCGTTGAGGTGATCTTCCACCTCTACGCTGTGGTGATCGACTGGGACCTGAACGATTCGGCAAGGGACCTTGACCCCTACCTCCCTCTTGGTGGTTCCTTTGGCCGCCACCCCCCTGTGCGCTCGGACCTCGACCACCCATGGCCCATCCCCCTTGGTCCTGACCTCCTCCTCTACCTTGCGGCCTCCCTCCAGCCGCGACAATAGCGTAGGTCCTCCCTTGACCTCCACCACTGTCCTCCTCCTCTAGCCCCCACTCTATCTGACTGTAGGGGACTTCATCTGTACCACCTTCGTCTAAAGTAAGGATCAAGTGATCCTTGGCCTTGACCTGTCCAGAGATGGTACGACCTTTCCACTTCTTTCCCTTCTCTAAATCCTTATGCCATAAAGTGGAAATTGGCATGGATTTGGCCTCAAACAGGACCACCTCTCTACTCAGCGCGTCGTACGTGATGGTGGCCTGCTGGGTCTTCTCAAAGAAATGCCCTCGTACGGGCTCTAGCATGGCACGATAAAATAAGTTAAACTAATTGGGTCTTATTGACACCGTGGTCTGGAACAACAACTAAATCATCCATAACTGCCTTGAGTGCTCTCCACTGCCGCGAGTGGATTATTTGCAGTTTATCGGAGGCCCTGACGCCTCGCGTGACGTCAGCGAATCTCTCTCTGAGGAGCTTGAGGAATTGAGGAAGAGGGGTAAGTTTGGAATATGCAACCATGTTGTTTTCACAATCAGCTGCTCGCGCGAGGGACCTGGCAAAACTAGCCGCTTCATCTTTTAAAGCATGGAAGGCTACGAGGACTTGTTCCTCAGGCGCAATGTGCTGGAGATACACATACGTGTTAATACTAGCCTCCCAATTATCGAAGTTCACGTCCTTCTTCCCGCCATAAGAATCAGGAAACTTAAGCTTGACAGGCTCTTTGCGGGGACGACCTTCAATCTCTACCGCGGCCACCACTTTGGCACCCTCAATGGCGCCTGCGCAGAACTTCTTTGCGCCCACCTTTAGCTTCCTTACTTCGGTCCCCACATGTGTCCTTACATCGCGCGCGAATTCCCTGAAACCAGACCGGAGAGGAGGGCCATTTCCTGGCCCCAACAGACTGATGATGCTCACTCCAAGCCCTACCTAGGAGTTCGATGCTCCCAAGGATCTTGTCCAACTTAGCCTGAACATTAGGCTGGGCCTCTACTTCCTGTCTACATGTTTGTTAACTCTCCACTTTTCTAGCCATCCGGTTGGCTTCCTCCGTCCTCCTCTTCTTCTCCCTCGCCAGGCATAACTTCCAGTCCAACCTCTTCTCATTCTCTATTGCCTGGCGTTCTAAGCGATCACTCGTCGCCTCAATCTCCTTAATTGCTGCTTCCTTCTCCTCTTGAGGTATGTACAGCATCGCCTCCTCATCTTCTCCCAATGATAAATTAGCCACCCATTCGGATATCCTCTTTTCTACCCACGGGTCATCTTCCTTCGCGCCACTGCTCTCTCCTCCTTCCCCCAATCTTCTTCTTCTGGGGGGCTCTTCTTCCGGCTGCTCCTCCTCTTCAACCTCTTCCTCTACTGCAGCCCTCATTCTCTCCTCCTCTTCTTGCTGCAACTGTTTTGTCTCCTCCTCTAGCTTCTTTTTCTTCGCCGCCTGCTCCTTTGCTATCACCTTCATCTTCGCCTGTCTAAGGAGCTCCTTCTTCTCTTTCTCTCTTTCCTCTCTCTCAGGATGGCAGCGGTTTGCTCCTCTTGAGCCTGGGTGTAAGGGGTAGTACTCTTCCCCCTACGGAGGTCAACCATGGTGTCAGGTGCACAACTGGACAACAGTTCCACTCCTCACCACTTAGACTTCTACCCCCTAACTTACACAACCTAAGACTGACTCGATCTAAGGACCACAGAATCCTGATAGGACCCTGTCAGCTATGGTCTCTAGCCTGGAGGCTGTCACTACAGGACTTGTTGCTGATCAGGAGGCATTTAAGGAGATCCCCCATAACTCCTCAGGAATTATTTAACGTCGCAAACAGGACGACACGATCAGCAGTCCTCTCAAGACTTAGACAGCCCGTTGTGCAGCCCACGGCTCGGATTTTGGGCCTACCGTGCCACACCAAGCAGCCCGCCGGTCAGTACCTGTCCTTGGGAGGGTTCGTGTCCTCCAGGACAATCGAGTCATCAGACACGACATTTAGCCCTACTCAGCCCGTGTGGGTTTGGTCAACAAGGATCTATCCTTCATACACGGAGTTCCTATCACCTGGACAGAAGAGACTCAATGCAGAAAGAAGAGACAGACAGACTCAGCAAGTACCATAGGGTGAGTGCACATCCATAGGGCGAGGGGATAGGCTGAGGGTTTGGCAAGAATATACCAACTCCAGCTTGGTCAAAGTCGCGGTCAACAGCCCTGGTCAACGCCTTGGTCAACACTTGGTCAACGCTCCAGTCAACCGTGGTCAACGCCTTGGTCAACGCCCGAGTCAATGCCCAAACCAACTTCGGCCAACCCTCTGGTCAACCTTCAACTTGGCTATGGCTGCCGCCTTCTTCTTCCTCACCACCCTTCTTCTTCTTCCTCCTATCCTTCCCCTTCCTCGCTTCTTTCTCTCCTCACCCTGGTTATGTCTTCCTTCCTCTTCGTCGTCCCTCGTTCCTCTTCCTCAGCTATGGAGGACTTCTTCTTCGGTGATGGCGAACTTCAACTATGGCGCACTTTGACTATGGCGTTGTCGGTGTGAATACCCTTACAAGGGTATCTGCCCTGGTTTTTGCAAAACGACAGAAAATAAGTTTGGTTTGAAGTTTAAGTATTCCGCGCGAGGCGCGACGGCATCTATGGTTTACGTTGGCTGGATGGTTGACTAGGGTCGAGAGTGTGTGGGCGCGCAGATTTTTGAGGCGCGCGTGATCTTTTTATTTGTTGATGATTGAAGGGTCGGCGTGATCGTCGGCCAGATTTTTCTTTTTCTGATTAAACCGGGATTAAAAAGATTACGTCTCGTTGATTAATGTCCTTACTTGTGACTTGTGTGTACATGCGAAGGAAGGCATCGACAACAATGTGACTTAGGAAGGCGTTTCGGTAGCTCGATGCGTCGTGTAGTGTCCGTTTATTTATACGTCCGCCAAAGCTAAAAATCAGACTTGGGCCTAGCACTAGCGGTTATGGTATCCGACTTTCATCAAGGAGATTCAGGGATCGAGAATCGAACGGCGGCGACGCGGAGTTATCAGAGTAGCGCAAAGGAACCGAGGGGTCGAGGGCCCGGCGGGGCTATCCCCCTTGGTTTTGTCATCGGCGGCGTCAGAGCGGTACTAGCGGTTCCTTTTTCCCGTCTACCGTCTTCTGACGATTAAGAGTTTCTAAATATCTTTATTTATTTGTCGTTTTATTATTTTGCTCCGGCGTTCCTCACCCTAGACGCGACACTGGATTCGGAGGCCGTCGCGGCCGTCAAGGATCTTGAGCACGCGCCTCCTTTAGCTGGTCCGTTCGGGTTCCGGCGTGCTAGGGCGTTGACAAAAATTCCTCTATCCTGCCTGTCGTAAAAAAAAAAAAAAAAAAAAAAAAAAGGTCGGGCCAAGGAGTCCGACGGGCATGCGAGCCGGCGGGTGATTAGCCCACGGGCCGGAAGGAACTTGAGTGGCGGGACCTTTCTGCAGGAGCACCATCAGTTCCCCGCCGTCCGCGGTGGAGAGGTTGGGTATGAGTGCGCCCACGGGATGCTCGTCCACTTCGGACTTCAAAGTTCTCATTTGAATATTTGCTACTACCACTAAAAGATCTGCGCAGGGCCGTTTCACCTAGGCCCGCGCTTGGGCACATTGCAGACCCGCGTCCTCGGTCCCGCGACTTGTTATGAGAAGTCGGGATAAGGCTTGTCCGCTGAGAGGCTGAAGGGGTGGCGGGGCCTGGTTGAAGGGGGCATGCCAGGGGAGACTTAGAGGAGAGTGTGAAGGAGGCGGGGCTATTAGTGGTCTTGACGGGCCGGTAGTCAGCCGCCGAGCATAGGGCGGAAAGACTGAGCCGTATAGTAGTTGGCTCCCTCCGAGGTTTCCCTCAGGATGGCAGGAGCTTGGGCCGAGGTCAGTCGCAGCGGGGCGCGTTGCCGGTGGAGCGGCGCTAGCAAAAAGGGAGACCAGCGGTATATCCCGAAGCAACGGGCAACGGGCCGGAGGAAACAGGCAGAGGGCAATAGCACAGGAAAGCGGGGTGTTGTCGGGCTGATGGGTGAGGAAAAGGTAGTGGAGAAAAGGGGAATGAACCCGGACGGGGGGCGGTGTCGGGTGCGTGCAAACGAAGATGAAGATGGCGGGTTGAGAACTCGGGCGCAGCAGTGGAGTGGGAGCGCAACCAATTGGGGATGGATCCGGGGAAGGAGAGAGATGGCCCGGGGGTTTTTGACTGAGGCGAATCCAACACCGAAGTCAGTTTTAGTTAAATGTTAGTAGGATGGGAGCTATAACGAAAACAGGGTGCGCGCTGACCATCGAAGAACGAGGATATGGTGGAGGAGAAGGCTAACAACAAACCCGATTCCTGACAGAATCAGGCAGGGAAGGAGTCGAAGTGGGGGTTTTCAGCCATCGCGAATGCGATGTCGGGATTAGTTTTGGTGCTAGGATGATGGTTAGCTTGGTATGGAGGTTGGGGGCCGCGCGGAGCTATGGTGAAGGGAAAAACGGGAGCGATGGGATTGAAGATGAAAACGAGCGAGTGAAGATGGGATTCTGAGGTTCTAAAGCAGGGCGAGTTGGATGACAACGGCGGATTCAGGCATTAGTGGGCGGTTTCAGCGATACCGGCAATGAAGGCTGCGCGGGGAGGGACCTCAAGCTTGCGCAGATAGAGGCGATGTATCTTTCCGCGTTTTAGCGGAAGATTCATTCGGGTTTTGCTCACCCTATCGATGATAAAGGTGTGGGGTCAATTGCGGGGATTGGAGACTTACCTCTTGCCCGGTGCGTTGCTCAATATGCCGGTGGGAGCAGCCTTAATCGATCTCAGTGCAAAGGGGGGGGGGGCAAAGATCGTAGAGTACAGTGAGAAGTAGATGTATCTTCCTGTATTACAACGGAAGATTCATTTCGATTTTGCTCGTCCATATTGGTGGGGCATGACCACTGTTTGTCCACGGGCTTTAGCGGGAGACCCGTTCTTGTTTAGCAGGACCGGAGTTGACGAAAGCATGAGGGATGACGAGAAGTAGGAGTAGAGCATGAGGGGGAGAGGACGTGCGAAGAAGGGTGCATACCTGGTAGGCTGAAGAGTCCACGTTGGGTGAACCAAGGACCGAGCTATAGTGGCAAGCTGCAGTGTGCCCGGCCCGAGTTTTTTTGCAAGGATTCACTTTGAATCTGCCCGCTTTGACGTTCGGGGCAGTAAGTAACTACGGGGTGGACAGCGGGATAAGAGAGCTTACCTGGGTTGCCGCAGACGGGAAGTAAAGTGTGCAGCCGAGCGGTGCGGAGAGAGCAAGGACAGTATGAAAGAAGACAGGAGACGAGGCCTCTCTGCATTCCGGTGACAGATCCATTACGGGTTACCTATCCCATCGATGGAGGGAGCGAGGAGCTAGCTGCAAAGGAGGAGACTTACCCGTTAGCCTGTACACCAAGCAAGAATGGAAGGCTATCTGTCTGGTCAGTGAGCTATTCACCGGGGAGGCAAGAGGCACGACTGCAGAGTTGTCTGTTGGCTAGTGTGGCGCCCGCCTCACCCGCCTGCGCAGCGACAAGGTAGCTGCGGACTTGCAAGACCCCGCTGAAAGGAGTGATAAGGAGAAAGGAGGGAGGCGTTGAGTTTTATGCCATTGCCCCATGTCTCAAGTTGCGGCTGTGGCAGTACAGGTCTCGAGCTTCAATGGAGCAGCAAGGGAACTGGTGGGGGAGCTGCAGGCCTAAAGGATTACCTACTGGCTGGTACGATACCCAGTTCGTTGGGCAAAGCTGCAGCGGACGAGCCGCACGGACGATAGGTCGCTGCAGATCTGTCTGTTCGCCGGGGTTATTCGAGTTACGGGCGGTCTAAGCTCGTGAATGAGGGTGTCGTGGTGAGCCTGGAAGATTACGGGAGGATCGACGGTTGGCATTTCGGCGTCAGTTGAACAGGTTGCGGTGTGTTTTGGCTGCCATTGCGGGGCTTTCAGGCGTACCAAGGCAACGAAGCCCTCTCCCCCGAGTCTGAGAGCACCCTTCTTGTATCTGAGAGTCTCAATGCTGCTCCTTCTGTCTTTAAGTCTAGTCCTTTGGTTCCGAGAGGAAGGCGGCAGGCGGGATTGCAACCCCATAGGACCGCAGCAAGGCCTTTGTGGGGGGTTACCCCACCGATTGCGGGAGCTCTGCCGGAACTCAGAAGGAGTTATGGAGGCAGGGAATTAAGAGGTAACCACCCATCCCCCTCTATAAACCCGGTTATAACCCCTATCTGTACCTCTTGCTATGTTTTGACGAAGTATGCTTCCTGTATCCTACTTTGACTTTGCGTTTGACTTCCAGGACATGAATCAGACTAAGTAAAGAAATGCATGTGCAATGGTAATTTCAGTTTTGTTTGTCTGTCTGAAAGCAGATTGTAATAAAGGGTTGCATCAGGGGGGGGGCTGGAAGAAAGGCGGTTTTGCTTGTGTCCGAATGGGTCTTATGGGGTCAGGCATTGTTTCTAAGACGAATGGTCTGATTGCTGTGTTTTGTTCTATTTTCTGAAGGACCAAGCATTGTTTCTAAGACGAATGGCTTGGTCGCTAAGTTTATTTAATGTTAGTCAGGCATTGTTTCTAAGACGAATGGCCTGGCTACTTGTGTTATGGGGTATTGATTGATTAAACTTTGAGGACCAGACATTGTTTCTAAGATGAATG